CCAATCCATTAGGCTAGGGAATAATTTCATATCAATTGTGTTTAAAACATAAATAGATAAGAAACTTTCGCAAATTTCTTCTAAATCAGCTTTAGAAATTAACTCTTGTTCATAACTTAAAAATGATTCTATAATCATTCCAATAACAATAGCTTCTCCATGTAATAAAGGAAAATCTGTTTCTAAGGATTCACTTTCTATTGCATGACCAACTGTATGACCAAAGTTTAATATTTTTCTTTCACCTTTCTCATAAGGATCGCTATCAACAACACTTTCTTTGATATGGATAGAATCCATAATAAAAGGAGCTAAAGATTCAGGATCGTGTGTTGGTAATTGAACTAAGTTATCCCAATGATCTCTGTTTTTGATTAAACCGTGTTTTAGCATTTCTGCTAAACCAGATTTTATTTGACGTTGATCTAGCGTTAATAAAAATTTAGGATCGATTAAAACCATTTCTGGTTGATTGAAAGTTCCAATCATGTTTTTCATTCCTTCTAAATCAATTCCATTTTTACCACCAGCAGAAGCATCTACCATAGATAATAATGTCGTTGGGATATTTACAAATTTAATTCCTCTTTTGAATGTAGAAGCCATAAAACCTCCCATATCAGTTAAAACACCTCCACCAACATTAATAACCAAAGAATGACGATCAGCATCTAGTTCACTTAAAGCTAACCAAAGGTTATTGACAGTTTCTATGTTTTTGTTCTCTTCTCCAGAATCAATTTCTAATATCTCATAAGCCGTAAGATTATCTAAATCGGCTAATAATAGAGGTAAACAATGTACATGCGTATTTTCATCTACTAAGAAAAAGATAGATGAAAAAGTATTCTTTGCAAGGTAATCGTCTAAAATATAAGCGATTGAACCAAAATGGATCGGAGCTGATTTCAAAATTCCAAAAAAATTATAAATGACTACAAAACTACGTAGACCTTTTGGTTCCGACCAAATAAATTGATAGTTTTATTTGAATGTTTTTTTTATCAATTTATTTGATCGAAACTTTTAAAAGCTATCTTGTAGTAAATGATTTGTTTAGTAAACAAGATTTAATCCGATACCAAATTTCATATCACTATCATAATGTGTTCTTAGTTGTAAATTTCGGTTTACAATGTAACTAAGTTCCCCCATATATTCTTTATCTGTATTCCACATAAAACCTGCACGAATACGTTTTGAAATAGGAATATCTTCTCGACCGACTTGTAAAACGAACTTTTCCGTTATGATAAATTTCTGTTTGGAAATCGACTAACATCGGTAATCTATACACAAAACCAGCACTGAATAAACCTCTGTTACGATTTGTATCTTGACCAAATATATTTTTTTCTTTAGCGTGTTCTAATGATTTATATTTATTCAAATCAAATCCAACGAAAACTTGAAACCATTGGTTTTGATCTATAAATCGGCCTAAATGAGTTTCAACTTCAATTCCATCTTGAGGTTTATATCCAATATTCCATTCAGAAGAAAGAACCCAACGTGCATTTTGTACCATAATTTGTCCATCTAAACCATTTGAAGCAAAATCATTTTGAGCAAAAAGATGTTTCATATTACTGTCCATTTGCAGCATTTTATACATGTGGTCTTTGTGATGAAAGTTTGGATTTTTATAATCACCAACATCAAAAACACGATTCATTCCTGCCATCATATGGTATAAAATATGACAATGAAAAAACCAGTCACCTTCTGTATTTGCTTGAAATTCGATAACATCAGTTTCCATTGGCATAATATCCAATACATTTTTTAATGGTGAATATTCTCCATTTTTATTAAGAACTCGGAAATCAAAACCATGTAAATGCATTGGATGACGCATCATAGAATTGTTGTACAATGTAATACGAAGTATTTCTCCTTTTTTTACAGGAATTTTATCTGCTTCAGATAAAACTTTATTGTTCATACTCCAAACATAACGATTCATGTTACCCGTCAATTCAAAACGCAATTCTTTTACAGGTGCATCCTTTGGTAATTCTGTGTTATGTGGAGCACGTAACATTCCGTAGTTTAAAGTCGTGATATTTGGCAATTCAGTATTTTCATCAGAATCATTCATTCCCTTCATATCCTTCATTTTAGTTGAAGATTTTTTGGATTTCTTTTTTGCTTCACCAGTAATTTCAGGATACATTACTCTGTTCATATCCATTTGCTGTAAGCTCATTTTCATACCCATATCGTTCATAGAACCATTCATCTTCATCATATCATTCATCATCTTCATTCCTTCGAAATATTTTAATCTTCCAAGAGGTTCAAGCAATTGTTTTTTACCTTCTCCAATGAATAATGATGTAGACGCTATTCTATCTTCCGATGTTGCTTGTAATTCATAAGACAAACCACCTTCAGGAACAGTAACAATAACATCATAAGTTTCAGAAACACCAATAATTAATCGATCCACTTCAACTGGTTCTACATCTTGTCCGTCGTTTGCAACAACAGTCATTTTTCCTCCACCATAACGTAACCAAAAGTAAGTTGAGTTAGAACCGTTAGAAATTCTCAAACGAACTTTATCTCCAGCTTTAAATTGTTTTAATTGACTTTCATTATGTCCGTTGATAGCAAATTTTTCATAATAAACATCACTCACATCCATTGCTAACATACGTTTCCATTCGTTAACGATTTTAGTTTTAAAATGACCTTCTTTTATCGCTTCAGCATAACTTTGTGTAGAACCTTTTTTTATTGCAAACCAATCGTTCGCATTCTGTAGCATACGTTGTACATTCTGTGGATTAAGGTCAGTCCAGTCAGATAGAATAACAGGAACTTCGGGTAAATCATCAATTCCTTTTCTGAAAGTAGGGTCGTCTTTTCTTTTCTTCAAGATAAGAGAACCATTACATACCAACTTGCTCTTGGTAACCAGAATGACTATGGTACCAATGTGTTCCGTTTTGTATAATAGGGAACGTATACGTATAGGTTTCGCCAACTTCTATTGGCATTTGTGTTAACCAAGGAACACCATCTTCTTTGTTTGGTAACCATATCCCATGCCAATGCAGAGAAGTAGATTCTTTTTTCAATTCGTTATGAAACGCGAATTACAGCAGTATCTCCTTCTGTAAACTCTAATGTTGGCATCGGATTTGGACCATTTACAGCAATTGCTTTCTTTGGTTTTCCAGAATAGTTTACAATCGTATCACGAACATACAAATCATATTCGACTTTTTTTGTGCATTTACATGCAAAGATATAAACCAAAGGAAGCCGAATATTTTGTATATATTTTTCATGTAATTCTAGTTTTTTAATTTCTCAACTGTACTTCCACATGTTAACATTTGGTTTCCATAAAAAGGATTTTTTATTGCATCATCTTTGCTCAACCAGTTTGCACCACCATTAAACATAGGACAATGTTGGTAATAAACAACATAACTTAGTTTAGAAACTTTTGCCAATTTGTACATAGAGTCAGATAAAGAAGCAAATAATTTACGTTGTTTATCAATATCTTTTTCTTGTGCTATTTTTTTAGAAGTCGATTCAATAGAACCTAAAACATCCATCCAAACCATATGTGCCTGATGTTCTATTTTTCCCATATCAACAGCCGATACACTTTTTTGAAAAGCGGTAATTTGACTAGTAACTTTGGCAGAATTTCCAGAGATAAAGGCATCTTTCAGATTAAAATAGGCATCAAAAACAGGACTTAATTCATTTTGTTTTTGGTCAGCTTCTGTGGTTGCCATACTTTCATGATTCATTCCTGCATCATTCATAGTAGGCATTTCTTTGTCTCTCTTGTATTGGCAATCTTTTGGTAAGTTAGCATAAGCCTCATCAGGAGCCATATATTCATCATTATCAAAACCAGCAAAAGCAACTTTTTTCAGTACTTCACTTGCTGAGGTTTTATTTTTATCATAAGAAATTGTAGCAACATGACTTTTTGTATCATAATTTACAGCAGCAACTTTTTTTTGATTTCCTGCCTTTTCAATCATATTTTTAGCAAGTGTGCAATCTCCCTTTATATGAAAAGTTTTTGTTTCCTGATTTTTTATTTGTGCATTCAGTCCAAATACAAAAAGATTTGTACAAAGTAATAAGCTATATTTTTTCATGACATATTATATTTTATCAATAGATTTTCTATTATGTTTGTTTAATTGTTTGAATACAGATGGTGTTAAACCAGTTATTTTTTTGAACTGAGCACTAAGATGAGCAACACTAGAATAGTTCAACTGAAAAGCAATTTCACTCAATGACAGTTCATCATAAACCATCAATTCTTTTACTTTTTCTATTTTCTGATGTATAAAATATTTCTCAATCGTTTGTCCTTCCATTTCAGAAAATAAGTTCGAAATATATTTATAATCCAAATTCGTTTTCTCACTCAAATAGTCAGATAAATTTACTTTTAATTCACTATTTTCTTGATGAATCAATTGTATAATCAATGTTTTAACCTGTTCTATTAATTTACTTCTTTTATTGTCTATCAGTTCAAAACCAACTTCTTCCAGCTCATTTTTTATCAAATTCAATTGTTCTTCATCAATTGGATTTGTAAGTTCAACTTCACCAAGCTCTATATGATTTGTTTCAATATTATTCATTTCATAATACGACCAACAACTATTTTGCCATCGGTAGCAAACCATATTTTTATAAAATAATTTATTTATATTTTCCATTCGGAACCATTTTTAGCAAGTTGAAACTAATTTACAATTTATCTCTTACAAATTTCCGATACTTATCAATTATAAAACTTATACAATTATTCGAATGATATATATAATTTACAGATTTATTCTTTTTTAGGGCAAAACCTTCGGTCCGCGCTTTCTGTTGCAATCTTTTTCTGATGAAAAAGGATTTCCACTACAATCGCTTTTGCAAATACGTTTTTGTAGTAATTGTGTTTTTCATTTCAACATAGCAAAGTCTTTTGTATTTTTGTAGTAAGCAATAAAAAAATGACGCAAGGACCAATTGGTATTTTTGATTCAGGATATGGAGGATTGACTGTTTTTAAAGAAATACAAAAAAAATTACCACAATACGATTACATATACTTAGGAGATAACGCACGTGTTCCTTACGGAACCCGTTCTTTTGAAACAGTATATGAATACACAAAAGAATGTGTATATAAATTATTCGATTTGGGATGTAATTTGGTTATTCTTGCTTGCAATACAGCTTCTGCAAAGGCATTACGAACAATACAACAAAATGATTTACCAGAAGGAAAAAAAGTGTTAGGAGTTATTCGTCCAACAACAGAATCTATTAACGATTATACAAAAAATAACAATGTTGGAATCTTGGCAACACAAGGAACAGTTTTGTCTGAATCGTATAAAATAGAAATCAACAAATTTTTTCCAAACATCAATGTTTTTCAACATGCTTGCCCACTTTGGGTTCCTTTGGTAGAAAACAATGAAATTACAAGTAGAGCTGCACATGATATTGTAGAAAAAGATATACAACGATTATTTGCTCAGTCAACAGCTATTGATACTATTGTATTGGCTTGTACTCATTATCCATTGCTATTGCCAGTGATAAAAGAATATATTCCCTCTCATGTTACGGTTTTATCGCAAGGACAATTGGT